TCTCTCTCTCTCTCTCTCTCTCTCTCTCTCTCTCTCTTCTCTCTCTCGCTCGCTCTCTATGTTTCTGTCTCTCTCTCTCGCGCGCGCGCTCTCTCTCTCTCTCTCTTTGTGTGTGTGTGTGGTGTGTGGCAGTGCGTCGGCGTGTGTATGTGTGTGTGTGTGTGTGTGTGTGTGTGATGTAGTGGTGTGTGTCCTGTATGTTGTGTCGGTGTGTGTGTGTGTGTGTGGCCCTGTGTGCTGTGTGTGTGTGTATGTGTGTGGCTGTGTGTGTGTGTGTGTGTGTGTGCTGTAGTGTGTGTGTGTATGTGGTGTGTGTGGTGGTGTGTGATCGTGTGTCGTGTGTGTGTGTGTGTGAGTGGTGTGCTGTGGCTGTTGTGGTGGTGTGGTGGTGTGTGTGTGTGTGTGTGTGTGCTGGGTATTGTGTGCGTGCGTCTGCTCTGCCTGCTCTCTCTGCTCTTCTCTCTCTCCTCTCGCTCTCTCTGCTTACTCTCATCTCTCTCTCTCTTCTCTCTCTCTCTCTCTCTTCTCTCTCTTTCTTCTCTCTCTCTCTCTCTCTCTCTCGCTCTCTCTTGCTCTCGCTCTCTCTCTTTCTCTCTCTCTACTTTCTCTCTCGCTCTCTCTCTCTCTCTATCTCTCATCGCTCTCTCTCTCTCTCTCTCTCTCTCTCTCTCTCTCTCTCTCTCCTTGTCGCTCTCTCTCTCTCTCTCTCTCTCTCTCTCTGTGTGTCTCTCATTATCTCTCATTCTCTCCCCCTCTTCTCTCTCTTAAGCTCATACATTCACGCGTTATCCTCCCCATCTCTCTATCATCTTGTACTTCGTCTACTTCTGCCTGCCATGCTGCTTACTGCTGTACAAACACCCTCCAGCCAGCCGCCTCAGCCACCGGAAGGCTCTGACCGCAGCTAAGAACATATGGCCGACACGGCGCCGAGAAACAACACCGCCGTAACGCTCGGCCCTTCCGCCTTACGGCTGGGCGCCGTTACGGTGCCGTGCGCAGCGCGCTAACCCTTCTACAAGCATCAGTCTGCCTTTAGCCTTAGAGCGGAGGCAAGCCACGGCCAGCCACGCGCGGTACGCGAGCGGTGAGGGCGGCGGGGGGGGGGGGCAGGCGTGGGACGAGCAGTGACTGTGCTGTACGTGGCTCAGACGAGCTCTGAAGATTCATGTCCCGACCTGGGCGTGAATGATAAACTAGCTAGCTGTATACGTTTATTAATCATTATATAATCTATGTATGAGTATGCCGTTTGGTGTGTGTCGTGGTGTGTGCGCGCTGAGCTGTCGTGCTGTGTGTGTATATATATATGCGTGCGCGCGTGTGTGTGGTGTTGTGTGTGTGTGTGTGTGTGTGTGTGTGCTGTGTTGTGTGATGTATGCGTGCGCCGCGCGCGTGTGTGTGCGCTACGTCGTGCGCACGTTGTTGCGCCGCGCAGGTATTGTGCGCATATATCTATAGCGATTATACTAGATAGTTGAATAAATGTTTGTAGTTTTTCTCAACAAGCACTCAATCATGGTCTATACTACTCTCCATGCTTTCAACATATTACATTACACTATATAAGATGTAATTGTAAGGTTTGCGTCAGCACAAAACGAAAACTAAATTATGCAGTATACGTGAAGTGTTTGCATAATACGAACCCATATGTTCCGTGATGTGTGATGCAATGATTATATATCTTGCATCGTCTACGCTCTGCCGTATAAGTTGCAGATATTATATATATATCATAGCAATGACAGCCCCCAAGCCAGACACTGAGCACAGCATGGCATTTATTATATATACAATATATATACTATATATATATATATACTATATATATATAGGCGGCCTACTTATGTGTGTATATGAATATATAATACACACTTCTAATATATGAACGCGTGCTATCTTGGAAATAAAAACAGAATAAACAGAAACAGAAATAAATTTAGTTACAACATGTTGTTCTTCCCCTATGTCGGTAGTTGAAATAGACAAAAATACGCGTTGGCATTACGTTTAGATCATTTTCCAAGTTTTAGGCCGCGGGTCAATTAACCCTTAAAAGATTTAGCGTTAAAGTTTAAAAAATAAAAGTAACTGCCATTAAATAAATGAAAAACTATAATATCGGAGGTGAATAAAAACAAAAAAATGTAGACAAATTTACTCCTGATAACATTGACGTAACACATGCGACTTCATGCACGCACACACGCCACACGTTAGTTGCTTAACCTGTTTTTATAGCTAACTAAAGCCCTTGATTCAATTTAATCAATCGATTAAATTCACGTAGAGTGACTATTTGATTTGATACGCTTTTAATCTGATATCTGAGCGGCGGTGCATTTCTGCATGTTACCAACATCATAGTTATCCTTGATAAGACCGACGATGTTGGAAGAATCCCTTGCCAGGACACCCGCTGTGGAGCCTTCTATAATCGCTGATAGTCCATTATATACATCAAATGCAGAGTCAATAGCTGCAAAGATCACGTTAATCGATTTGTCTCCAATCAACTTTTTCAGCTGAGAAATGGATGGATAATCCTATAATAGAAAAAGGGAAATCAGACTTCAATGGACTGGTGATGAAAATGAGATGTGTCATGCATGCAGTTTATATTATCAGACAAGTTTTTCACACCTTTTATATTATACGAACTACAGTCAACCCTATATATGATGGTCATTCAACAGAAACCACAAATATATGCTTTATAGCCGAATGTCTGCTTTATATTATACATAGACGGTTTTACGTTTTTAAGTGCCTGTCAAGGGAAACACTGAAAATGTCATTTATATAAACGTACCAGTTTTAAATAGGTCTCGGCTAACGCAGGTTCGACAGTAACGCCAACCGCCCGCTTCGTAAACTTGCGTAAAAATAATTTAGCCCAACCAGTCCTGTGTTTAGATGGTATTATCGATCTAAGTCGTGTCCTTCGCTGCTACTGAACACTATAAGGTTAACTCACCTGTTCGGTGCCCTGTAATATTGCATCGTTGTCATCTAGATGGCATTGCCCGTCGTTTGGCATCACGATGCCGCCTAGCTTCCCGTCTCCAGCGTAATGGAAGCTGGCATCGGAGGCGTAGACTATGAGGTGCCGCGCTCCCGTGCGCCACCCGATCTGCTCCTGAATGATAATCAATAATAAAGATATGGATCAATAACAACAATATATCGATCATTGACATCAATATCAGTCAACAACAGCGATATTGATCAAAGAAATTTATATAGATCAGTAACAACAATGTCAATGAATGGCAAAAATATCGATCAATAACAACAAAAGCAATCAATGCAAACGATATCAACTAATACCAAAAATATCCATCAATGAAAATAATATTGATCAATAACCACAATATTGATAAATGAAAACGACACCATTCAACAACAATGATATCTGATTTACGAAAACAATATTGATCAATAATAACAATATAAATAAATGAAAACGGTGTATGTATTTTGATAGGTGGCAATGATATATAGACTCAAATCATATCAGCCAATGATAATAATATTCAATCAATGATGATCATGCTAATGAACGATGAAAATAATAAATCATTGTTATCAAGCGTTGGCTTTCTTCGTCATCCCCAGCTGCCGTGTCGACATGACTAGCATAACGTGAGCCGTTCACTCTCATCTACGATTATTTTCCAACCACTCTATATAATATACATACAAGTTACGGTGTTTGTCGCTTACCTCACACATGATAGCTTGCACGAGTGCGTCCATCCCACCTTCAGGAGCGTCCAGGTTACCAGAAATTGGAACTTCGTTCACTTTTTTCTGCACAAAAGCAGATATCGCCAACCGCGAAAGTGCGTGCGTGTAAGATCGTTTGAATTTTTGGCTTGTCTACAAATATATGCTAAGAGCTTGAGGTGTGTTGAGTTCTAGTAGTACTTACATATCAATAAAAAGTCAAATTTCCTTTACAAATGCACTCATTAAAGGGTTACAGCCATCTTAATTATATTTCACTCGGTAAGACAATATGAATCGAATGGCACCATAAAAATTCACAGTGGCGATATAATATACTTACGGCAAACTTATCTGTTTCAGTCGTCAGCGTCAACTCGTGTTTGAAAAGATAAGGGGCGCTACAACCAGCGCATGGCTCTTTTAGCTTTGATGGCACTTGGCTCGTAAAGGGCAAGGCCACCTTATCGACGAATGATCCAAACCCCAAGCGAAAGTTCTTCGTAATGTTTTGCATTTCGGCCGCTGCAAAAAAACGCTGCTATGATATTCTCGTGTTTTAGATTTCCGGCGCGCCCGAAAAATCTATCTCTAATAATTCTTCCTAAAAATCGCAATCGCGGTAAAATCACCGGTGTGCGTCGATTTGCTATGCAAATGCATCTGTGTAAAAAAAATTGTGTGCCCGCTTGCACTACCGCTATATAATACTAAACGCAAAGGCCCACGCTTCGTTCTATCGGGTCTAACCAATTGCAACGCAATGCTGGCCCGGACTCATGAGAAACGTGTGTCTGCGCTACGTCTGCGACTTTTAAAGCAAGTTTATGCATTGCAATCTTACTTAACCCATTCCCCTACTCGTTCTGTTTCCATCCTCCCTCACTTAGTCGCTTCACAATCTCTCTCTCGCGCAGACGCGCCTCGCTACAAGACGCACCACAAGACGGGGGGTCCCTACAAGAAGGCTACCATCATACCTCTCAACCGTACACACCACACACACACCACACACACACACACACTCACACACACACACACATAACCACCCACACTACACACACAACCACAAACACGACAACACACACCACCACACGAGGCATAATTACGACACAACAAACACACCACACACATCAGCCACACACACGAAACACTACACATTCGTCTTCTCTTTCTTATCCTTTTTTTCTCTCTCTCTTCTCTGCCTCATGCCTTCTCACCTCGCACCTCACCCAATTCTTCTGTAGGCCCTACTCCACGTCGCTGCCTCTTTCTCGACATACACCGTATCTTAGCAGTTATACTACAAACGTCTGCGATACTCACCGAGCCTGTCTCCTAGCATAGCAAGGTTAGCTTTATCGTCTTCCATTGATTTCGATAGATCCATAAGGAAGTATAGATCGACAGGGTAATCTTCGGCTTGACTATACTGCACGCGTATCGTCCGAGGATCGTCTGAATTAAACGATACTCAAATTATTTCTTTGCTTGTAGTATAATGATGTATATAATCAGGAGAAATAGTCTAGGGAATATGACACGCCAAAACAAGGAAAAGTTCGCATGTACTAGGCTTGATCTATCTATAAATTATCATGTGTAAATCAATACACATGAAGTCATGTGTTATATTAATAAACATGCACCCACGCCTTTATTGTTGTTTTTTTCAATTTACCGTTTATTAACTTCTAATATTACACATATGAGTTGTTAAATAAAGATTCTACTCGGATGATAATATGATTTTCTGCACGACTTAAATTATTTTTATCAGAATCGCGAGCTTTCTACTAATATATGCGCTCACGGAGAGCGCTGATGTGGAATATGTCGCGACATGAAAACCGTATTTTTTAACGCTAGCATAAAAACGTTAATTTTTACCGTTTTTGCACAGCATCCTGCGTGATACACGTTTAGAAATTACCTTTCTCGTGAAAAAAGCTAAAGACTTAATCGTTTTCAAGCATGCCTCGATTTTTATAATCGATAAAGCGGATAAAGTGATAATAATGTAAATAACGGAGATAATCAAAGTTTATAAAAGCGATAATAAAGCAATATATAAGGATAAACAGTGATAAATCCTCTTGTTTTTAGCTTGCTTTAATAATTAAATTAACATGTTTTAGTGAAAATATTTACTTAAAGCGCCCAAAATGCACAGTAAACCGAGAAGTGGGTTACCCTATCAAGCCCCCTCTTCACGGCGTAAAACTCACTCGGGCGTATATTCATTGTAATCTCTTGCGGGAACAGTTGTACCGCCTGTTCGTCCGGTGCAACGGCGCCATCTGTGAGATTCTTCTGTACGTCGATGGTCTCGCTTGACTTTGGGTTGACAATATTTTCTTGGCTGCAGTTATTACTGATAAGTCTCGCCATGGTGTCACATCTACTAATGCTGCCTTCATTACTGTCGAAACCCTGTGTGCCAAAATAGTGCAAATGTTCGATGTGTTAAAATGTGTGTGAAATGCTGCCTCGCGCAGTCGTTACAATTGACGCTTTAACTTAGCTTAAACGTGATCGGCTTTGATGAGAAACTAACCGTTAAAATGTGAACGTAATAACTGATGGTTTTCGTCTGGAAGAAAAATTTTTACGCCCGCTTAAAAATTTGTGCTTTAGGCCTACTGGTAGTTGGTAGTTTTCTGGCATTTTCTCGTATTTACGCGAAATTTCAAATGGCTAAGAACAACGAACTTTTGGTTATTAATTATTGATTAATTATTATAATAACTATTTATATTTGTTATCACTAAAATTATGAGTAGTGCTGCTGTTGCTACTGTTAATTAGCTGTTGTTGTTGCTGCTTTTATTGTTGTTGTTGTTGTTGTTGTTGTTGCTGTTGTTGGTGTTGTTGTTGTTGTTGTTGTTGTTGTTGTTGTTGTTGTTGTTGTTGTTGTTGTTGTTGTTGTTGAATTTATTAGCCGTATTACTTGTATTCGTTATTGGTGAGTTATTATAGGTTTATATTAGTTACGAAAATCACGTAGTCGACCTAGCTCTAGAACTATAGTCGACCATGCTTAGCACTGCTAGATCCTGAAGTGCAGGAAGTGTATATTACCTCTTGCTTGCACCAGACGCACTCCGGATATGCAGATATACAGTCTCCGCATTTCTTGCTATTGACGAAGCACAATTTCGATACATCTTGAGAGGCAGCCATCGCCAACATCGCCGTCAACGCCAGCAACAGCTTGTAACTGTGACGGCTCTCCATTTTAACGACTAAAAACGGAAACGCGGCGAGGTCGCGTCATCGTTTAGAAATAGGGCCTACATCGTTTGTATTCGTATACGAGGCAATAACTGTACGTACTGTGTCTGTTATATATATATATATTTATACATACATATGAGCCACCAGGCCCAAATAATAAACTCAAATATACCTACGCTTACCGTTAACGCATTTTTCATATCTACGACTGTCCTTTTTTATAAATTTCTCTCTTTTTTTTTTCTCTCTCTCTTTCTCTTCATTCTCTCGCCTTCACACACACACACACACACGCACGCACGCACGCACGCACACACACACACACACACACACACACACACACACACACTCCAGTGGCGGATCTAGAGGGGGTTGGGGTGCAACCCCCCCACCCTTCAGCCACTGACTAATGTTATGATACTAGTAAAATGGGGCCAAAAACAAAAAGGCAGTCTGCAGGCTGATAGACACTGGGGATTTCCCCCGTGACTACACAGCTGCCTGAAATTTCCAGCTGTGAGGGGGGCATGCCCCCGGACCCTCTCTCTCTCTCCCCGCCCCTCTCTCTCTCTCTCTCTCTCTCTCACACACACAAACACACACACACACACACACACGCACACACACACACACACACACACACGCACACACA